CAGAGTGAGACTCCAACTCAAAAAATAAATAAATAAATAAATAAATAAATAAATAAAATCTGCTTGAAGGCGTTTGAGTGCTAACAATGTAGTCAAGAATTATTGTGCCAAAACCCAGTGGATAAAAATTCACAGAGGTGACTCTGACATTTAAGGCTGCTTTTTTCTTAGGGTTTGTTGAGAATGAAAAGTATCTCACATGCTTAAAAGAGTCAAGAGCACTAGTAAACCCTTCAAACTTTTGGTTGTGAACTCCAAGAGCTACACTCTAAGAGTAAGAGTATAATAGAAGCAAACCAATCCTTGCACATACTTCAGCATAACTTTGAGTTATTTTGTTGGCTCAGAAAAATCCCTGAAATTGAATTAAGACAATCCTAGATCATCTTAATGCTTGAGTTGTCTGGTAAAAGCAAGGAAAAATATAATGTGAAACCTAATCCTCAAATAAGTTCTGCAAACAATGTTTCAAATAAAAACATAACATAAAATGAGCAAAAATAAGACATAAGAGAAACAACAAGAACAAAAAGCATCTAAAAATAGAGCAATGAAAAGAGTCCCATGAGTGCCAGATACTAAAAATAACAGACATAGACTTTAAACAACTATAGTCAAGGACATAAGACAGAAGACTGAGAATTTCAGCAGAGAACTGACAACTATTTAAAAATGACATATCTATAAAAGAAAAAAATAGAAATTATAGAAGTAAAAAAATTCAATAACTAAAGTTAGGAATGCAATAGATGTAATTAAGAGCAGATTAGATATAGTTAAAGAGAGAAACAGTGAACTGGAAGATAAATTAAATACCTAGACTAAAGCATGATGAGAAATAGGATGGAATACAAAAGATAGGGTATTATGCAATACATTAAGGTTTAATTTATGTATAGTTGGAATCCCAGAAAGAAAGAATGGATTAGAAACAATATTAGAAGAGATAACAGTTGAAAATTTTCCAAAACTAATGTCAGACATCAAGCCACAGATCTAATAACTTGGAGCTGGCTACATAAAAGGAAACCTACAAAAAAACAAAATACAAAGACAATCCTAAAGCAGCAGGAAAAAAAACCACATATTATCTTCAAAAGAACAACAATTAGCCTGACAACCAGTATCTCAACAAAAACGCTGAAAGCTAGGACAAAATATCTTCTAAGTGCTAAAAGAAAATAACTGACAACCTATAACTCTACATACAGCAGAAAGTACTTAAACGTGAACAATACATGATGAAATTGAAAACATTATGCTAAACAAAAGAAGAAAAGAGGCCAATTGTTGTGGCGCACCTGCAATTTCAACACTTTGGGAGGTCAAGGTGGGAGGACTGTTTTAGCACAGGAGTTCAAGACCAGCCTAGACAACATAGTGACACCTCATCTCTTCCAAAAAATACAAAAAACACAAAAAATTAACTGGGCATGGTGGTGCACATCTGCAGTCCTAGCTACTCAGGAGGTTGAGGTGGGTGGCTACAGTGAGCTATGATCAGGCCACTGCACTCCAGCCTGGGTAATAAAGTGAGACTCCAACTCAAAAAGTAAAAATAAATTTTAAAAAGAAGCCAGATAGAACAGACCACATATGTGCATGTATCTATTCCATTTATATGAAATATCTAGAATAGGCAAATCCATAGGTATGCAAGAGTGGTCACCAGGGGCTGGGGTAGGGGGAATAAAGAGTGACTGCTAATGGGTATGGAACTTCTTTTTGGAAGGATGAAATGTCCTGAAATTATTAAGTGGTGATGGTTGCACAACTTTGAGAATGTATTAAAAATCACAGATTGTACACCTGAATATGATTTAAAAGATCAATTTTAAGTTATGTAAATTTTATGTCAATAAAAAAGTGATGGCGTAATAAATTATTAAATAAAAAATCATTCAAAGTTAATACCAGGATATCCTTCAGGCTAAAACAAATAATCTCATTGAAAATAAAGAACAATGAACAAGGTAAATATGTGGGCAAATATAAATGAATCAAATAATATTTTTTAACAATGACAATAAATACTGAATGACTAAATAGAGCCAATTAAAAATTAGAGGGCTATCTTCTCAGAGAAGTCTTGATTATACAGTTCATGAGAGGCTGGAAACCAAAGGTACCATCTTTTTAAAATTACTAATGTCTAAATTCTACTCCTAATTTAGAGTATGCATGAAAAGTATAAGTTCTAGTACATATTACTGAAATATAAGAACCCATGTTAACAAAAATCAATGTATTAGTCTTCTATTCAGTTTTTAAATTCTTCAAAAAAATCTTACCATTGCAGAAAATCACTCAACACACAAAAAGTTGTACTTACCCTTTCTCGACCATGTCATCCTGAGAAGAAACTGGATGCAAAGGCTCTCTTGTCCATGGTTTCTGAGTTGCTGTTTTGACTCTAGCTGATTTCTTAGAAGATTTAGGAGGTTGTAACATGCTGAATTCTTCTTTCTAAGAGGCAGTAAGACAATGAACAAAATAAAAAATGAGCAAAATAAACAAAAAGGAGTGAGAATAAAGCATAACTCTGCACATTCACCTAAAATTTCTTCTGATCAAAAGAGCCTTCCCGCCTCCCTCCACCTCCCACCATGCTTCCCACTAGAATAGGAATTTTCTCCTTCTCTAGCTCCCACTTTCATGTAAGCAACAAAGTGAAATCCAACAGCAATTTAGAAAGAAGAGTCAAAGGCTTGTATATCCTTACTTCTACCGTTGTGAAAAAAAAGAGGTTCCTGGAGAAAAAGCTGTAAAAACCTTTGTTTTACAACTGAATAGGCATTAGAGCTAGTGTATGGGGGTGGGGGCTGCTGGGGGGTCACAGGGCAGGGAAATCAAACAAAGGTATCCTTGGCCCATTAGAAGGAAACTGGATCTTAACAGCACTATTTCCTTCCTTCCATTTTTGAACGTTTTATTTTCATACTTATTTTCCCCATTCTTAAATGTTCTTCATGGTAAAAGTTAACAATTTAAATTCAGAGAGATGCTACATGCATGAATCAAAAAAAAGTATAAACAAGGTCGAGGTGGGAGGATTACTTAAGACCAGGAGTTTGAGAACTGCCTGAGCAACATCTTTGGGAGGCTGAGACAGGAGGATCACTTGAGCCCAGGAGTTCAAGACTGCAGTGAGCTATGATTGTACTACTGCACTCCAGTCTCAGTAATAGAGAGTCTGTCTCTTAAGAAAACTTCTTAAAAGTATAAACAACTAAATGTCCAATTAAAAGAGAAATAAACAATTATCTGAGTAGGAGATATACATAAATGTAACATTACATAATACTTAAAAATAATAGTTATAGAAATGATGACATATATGGAAAAATACTGATGATAAAAGAAATAATCAGACTGTGTGCAGTGGTTCACACTTGTAATTCCAGCACTTGGACAGGAGGATTACTTGAGGAATTCAAGACCAGTCTAGGCAACATAGTGAGACTTTGCCTCTGCCAAAAAGCAAAAACTTAGGCTGGCACGGCAGCACACACCTACAGTCCTCACTACATGTGGGGCTGAGGAGGGAGGATTGCTTGAGCCCAGGAATTTGAGAATGCAGTGAGCTGTGATCGTGCCACTGCACTTCAGTCTGGGCAACAGAGAGAGACTTTGACTCAAACAACAACAATGAAACAAACCAAAAAAAACCCTCCGAAAAACTAAAGGAATAATCCTATCTCCAGGTAGATAGTGTCAGAAAAAGAGAAAATAAAAGTAGAAATACACAGAATACAAAAATATAAGTATATTAAAACAAAAAATTCACAAGAAGTCTAAGAGAAAATAAGTTAGTAATTGTCTAGATGTAGATGAGATCAGAAGTGATTTGTCTTTTTCTCCAATTTCCAAATGCATAGCAGTTTTGTTATTTTTCTGATTAGAAAAACAAACATTAACAACTTTTCTAATATTTTAGCATCCATTATAATATTATATACAATGCTTGACAGCAAGAAATATATTTACGATGTTATATTAGCCATAACAAATAATAAAATCTTATACACACTTTACGTAGCTACTAAGTACCAATAATTATTTAAGAACTATATAAACAAAATTAACAACTTGGCCGGGCTCGGAGTCTCAGTCTGTAATCCCAGCACTTTGGGAAGCTGAGGTGAGTGGATTGCCTGAGCCAGTGGGTTCGAGACCTGCCTGGGCAACTTGGCAAGACCTCGTCTCTACAATAAATCAAAAAATTAGCCGGCTGTGGTAGTGCGCGCCTGTAGCGCCAGCTACTTGGAAGCCTGAGGTGGAAGGATCGCCGGAGCCCAGCAGGTCGAGGCTGCGGTGGCCGGGAGACAGAGGGAGACTCCAACTCAAAATAAATAAATAAATAAATAAAAATAATAACAACTTAAAGTCTATTCTACATATAACTTCCCAGGTATCAGGGCTCACATCTGTTTAGTAATTCAGAACACAGCATGACAGTAAACAACACTCAATATATGAGAGTTACCACAGGAGGCTGAGCTTATTATTGAAAGTATATCAGTCAGGCGCAGTGGCTCACGCCTGTAATCTCAGCACTTTGGGTGACTGAGGTAAGAGTACTGCCTGAGCCCACGGGTTCAAGATCATCCCAGTCTGTGCAACATGGCAAGATCTCATCTCTACAATAAATAAAAAAATAAGCCAGGCGTGGTGGCACATGCCTGTAGTTCCAGCTACTTGGAAGGCTGAAGCAGAAGGATCACCTGGGTCCAGCAGGTAGAAGCTGTGGTAGCTGTGAGTGTACCACTACACTCCAGCCTAGGCAACAGAGTGGGAGGGAAGGAGGGAGGGAAGGAAGGAAAGAAGGAAGGAAGGGAGGGAGGGAGGGAGGGAGGGAGAAGGTTGGTTGGCTCGTCCCACAAAAGTAGTCAAATTCATAAAAAGAGAAAGCAGAATGGAGATGGAGGGTACCAGGGGCCAATGAAAAGGGGAGAAAACGAGTTGTTTTTTAATAGGCACAGAGTTGGATTTGCAAGATGAAAAAGTTCTGGAGATCTGTTTCACAAAACTGTGAATATACTTAACACTACTGAACTATACACTTAAAAATGGTCAAGATGGCAAATTTGATGTTATGTTTATTACCATCATTTAAAAAGTTTTCTTAAAATTAAAGAAAAATCTAAGTGTATCATACAGAGAAAGGCCTAAATTAGACTTTTGAGTTGAATGTTTAGTAATGTGAGTGTTCAGTCAGTGACTGGGTCATCAAAGTACATGGGCAAACCAGGAGGATTAGACTAGCCAGCAGAGTGGCACACTAAAAGGCCACAAGGTACAAAGGAGGTCAGAAAGTTGTCAAAAAATGAATAAGAAAACAATAGTGCACTAAAGTGACACTCAAAGTGTCAACCCCAGAGCAGCAACAAAAACATCATCAGGGAGAGAGCTAGTTAGAAATGTAAATCCTTGGGCTCTACCCCACACCTACTGAATCTTGATATCTGAGTGGAGCACAAAAAAAAATCTGTGTTTTTTTTTTTTTTAAGTAAGCTTTTCAGAAAAACAAACAGCCCCTTTAAAAAGTGGGCAAAAGAGCCGGACTCGGTGGCTTAGCCTGTAATCCCACGCCTTTGGGAGGCTGAGGTGAGTGGATTGCCTAAGTCCGCAGGTTCAAGACCCGCCTGGGCAGCGAGACCTCATCTCTACGATAAATCAAAAAATCAGTCAGGTGTGGTAGCACATGTCTGTAATTCCAGCTACTTGGAAGGCTGAGGTGGAAAGATCGCCGGAGTCCAGCAGGTCGAGGCTGCGGTGGCCAGGAGCGGCCACTGCACT